TATTATTATACATTGTAGTTGGTAAAGCAATTTGATTGGCTAAGAGCTTATAGTTAAATCACACAATCACACAACCAACAGAAAATTCAGTTATCTGCTAGTAGATAACTGAGTTATCTGAAAATGAGCCTGTGATAATTAGCAAGTGGTATCTATTTAACACAAACAAATGTATAATAAAACAATTATTGAATTCGGTTTTTGCAATATGCAAAATTCTCAAGGTCTTGATTATAAGCATTATCAGCCTTGCCTTCGGCTTGGCTGATAAGGCTTACCTCGACCTTGATATTTCCGCATATCACAAAAACCTCATCCAATAATTGTTAATCATATAACATTTAATATAACAAAAAAATGCAAATCAGACAAAAAGTCAAGTGATGGAATAAATAAGATAATTAGGACACTTAGTTAAGCATTAGATCCTTACTGATTGGTCATAATTCATAATTGTGGTATATACAGTAACAGACAACCATTGCGATGTACAGTACGAGCATGCGAAACCAGCCTAAAGCCTATTATCACTAAAGTACAAATAATACAATAATTATGATTTTGTTTTGTTATTTTTGTAATTGTAACATTGCAAATTTCACAAAAAATTTCTAGCTTTTGACCCAGGTTCCCAGAAATGTCCCACTAATGACCTGACAATCCCGCAAATGAGAAAGAAATAACCAACAAAGGGTTGTTTAACATCTTGTATATTAGTGGCATGAAAGTGCCCCCCCCCCCCTGCATACATTGCTTTTGACAAATTCCCGAACACAATTTGCAGAATTCCTGCATCATTATGCACGCATAGCATCGACTTCATGCATTTTGAAAACAGACAGAAACGCTAAACATTACATAACATCAAATAAAATTCAAAAGAAACCAAACAATTAATGAAGTTGAGAATATATGTGTAATACTATACTCCAGTAATTTTGATAGTGGTCTAAATATTCATACGAATATAAAAGCAGAAAATGTTCAGAATCTTTAAATGTATGTTTCTAAATGCTCAGAGACAGAGAATAATTGAGTGCATATTTTAAATATTTAGGACCTTTTCAACAAACATTTAAAGCAAAATATTATATTCTTGAGTAGTTCTGCTTCATCATTGATCATTGTCGCTATACAGAGTCACATGAAAGAGTGTGCGAACCAGACGGATCATTAATTAACACTATCATGGAAAGTGCACAGGTTGGACTCAAGAGTCAACATTTTAAGGTTTTATAACAAATCTATTATAAGTAAGGACAATTTTGGCAACAGCTTACTGAAAAAAATGCAGAGACTGTTAATGTTTGCGTTTAATATGCCATGTTATGTTATATAATTATGTTATGTTAAATATGTCCATGTACAATAACGAACATGGGAGTTTACCATTTCACTGGATATTTTGCTCCCTCTGCACTCGTTCTGCTTTAAAATCTTGCATGACTCCGTATGGCAACTTACAATGACCAATAATGAAGTAGAATTGAAAAATTAAACGAGACTTACCTGTAAGGTGATGTTTGATTTTGGTTCTGCAAATCAATGCTTGGTCAAACTTCACCTTATAATATGGGTAAGTCTTACAGGTAAGTCTTGTTTTTAATTTTTCAATTTCATTTGCACATTTGCTCATATTAGCAACTAAGCCTTGAGGAGATTTGAGAAGTGAAAGGCGAAGTGAAAGGCGAAGGTTTGTTGTCTGAACGCGAATGCTTCTCGTGCATGGTTTTACTACCTAAACGCCATGGTTTAATTTACTACCTAAATTCCAGGGTCCAACAAAAATCCTCCAAATACCATTTGAGGCTAGTATAGTTGTGAGCATATTGTCTAGGTTTATAATAGTGCTGTTTCTACCTTGCAGTTTCAATTCCAATTCACATATAGCTACATCAGTGGATATTACTATTCTACCAATGCTTTACTATCATGTGCAATCAAGTCCTTGAACAATTAAATACATTCAGGAAGTCTGTGCAAGACATTTTGATGTCGACATGCATAACAACATCTGTGACCAAACAAATACTTGAGATATGTGGCCCTGTTTAGTATATTAAGTATGGCAATATCCGAACAGCTACAACTACACGTTATTCGTTAAAGTTAATAGGGATATAGCATTTGATAAACGTTGGAAGTTTGACGGTTTCATTAAGTTTGTATACCCCCCATTGTACTATCATCATCAACATCGCATATAAACAAGAGATAAAAATGTCAAATCATCAAAATATTCAGTTGTATCAATTAAGCCAAGGCCAATGAAACCAGAAATGAATGAGATAAACAATCCAGTAATAAATATTCATACTTTTAGGACAACGGAACCAAAGTCTACTGCCGCTACAGAAGTACTATAGGAATTATTGACTTACTGTGGAAGCAAATTTTGTTACGTAGGCCGCATTGCTGTTTTGCTTTATATATTTATGAAAGCTAATTTATATATTATACACTTACCAATCCCAAAACGATTTTAAACGATATTCAACGAATGCGCACAGGATGGAACTTCAATTCCTAAATATAAACAGGCTACTTCAACTTATAGTGTGTTCACTCTATATAATCACGTATGGATTATAGAGTTTGCGTCGCAGAGCTCAACATCACGAAGCACAAAATCCTCTAACTTACTTTCGAATACCCAGCTTTGTTGTGTAATAAATTCTACCAATTTGACCAAGGCCTTGAACACGTTTTTAAAAATATAGTGAGATTTGACCACTGTGAATTACGCATGAGATTCAACATGAGATTCAACATGATATTCGATATTGTGTGAACTCACTCAATTCAATCACTCAGAGGTAAAAATGAAAAATATAGCCATTTCTTCTCTTCCAAATGAATTAGAAATAAATAAATC